CATTCAGACCCCTCTGAGAGGAGCCCACCCCTCACCACCTGGAATTTCTGTTTTACAGCACTGTAATTCACCTCTCCTCATCCATCTGCTGATGCCAGCGTGGGTTTAATGACATTATTTCTGCATTCACATCTTCTGAAATATTCTGGGAGGTTCAGCCTGTGCTGAGATTCCCTCATCCCTGCATGGTCCTTCTGGCTCCTGCCTGTGGTCCTGCCCACGCTGCTCCCCCTCCAAAGCCCAGCCCTTAAAAATAGATAATACAAACTACACTTCCTGGGTTTTCCATTGATTTCAGGGCTGACTGGCATCACAGATATGAATGTATTTATTTCACTGCATGTAAGTACTTGGAAGAGCTAATTCTACATACAGAGAGATTTGGTTTTGCATCAGTTTTCTCTTGTGTGAACAGTGTTCAGTGTAAGATGGGCCATGAGGCAGATAATTTAGCAGAAGAGGATAATTTTGGGGTAATCTTGTGTGAGACTGGCTCATTTTCGTGGTTTAGTTACACAGGGGTTCCTGTATTGCTAACATGGCACCCCCTGGGCTCCCAGTGGAAGTGAATGATGCTGGGAGGCTCCAGTGCTGCTGGAACAGTTGCAAATACAAAATCTGTCTGTGAGTTGCCTTCTTGTGCTGCCATGCCTGGTCTGATTGGGGTTTTGCACTGGATTTTCCACCCAAGGCTTTTAAAAAGCATTTTCCAAACTTACAATCTACGTGGAAGTTGGTCTATCAATTCTAAATTTCCCCTTTTATCATAAGTTTTACTGAAATGCATCTATTGGCATGAAAGCCTGATCTGAATAGCTGTAAAACCCCAGATTTTAACTCCATGGCAGCAGCTTTCCTAAGAAGCCTGAGTGGCACAAATCTGGAGGAAATGAGATGTGCAGAGCTCTGGACAGGAGCTCAGTGCTGGTCACTGAAATCATTCCAGCAGAGATTCCTTGTCTGAGACTTTAATTCCTGAACTGATGGGACTTTCTGTGGCAATCTGTGCCACACAGCAAACAGAAAGTGGAGTTGCTTTTCTTAGACACGTTAGAGACATCGGCTCAGGCTGAATATTGCATCTGTTCAACAAGTCAGTGTGCTGAATTTCATATGGTGAGTCTTTAAATACACTCTGCACTTCATATTTCATAGCAGTGACTCATCCTACCAGCCTGAATTAGAATTAATTTACTGCAAACTGGTGCACACCGCAAAACTTTCTGCAGGGGAGAGAGATTGACTGGTTTATATTTGCCTTTTGGGCATTTTTTGATTGATAGATAGAATACATAATATAAATACATTAAATACATAATATAAACACATTAAATACATAATATACATACATAATTTTAGTCTTTATCTTGCAGTGAATTCAGGGGTGGGCTTGACATCTGCAAAGGGCTAAAATGTCGTGTATTCATCAGAAATCATCTCATGGAAAACCAGGCATTGCTGAGGCCACATCTACACATTCTTCACGCTCCTGGTTTCTCAGCAAAAAGTTAAAGTTCACTTTAAGTGCTCTGGCAGATTATTTTTAGTGAGTTTTGTGCCTCTTCTGCTGCTTTTGGGAAGTTCCTCCAGACTTTCCATCCATTAGGAATTTTATTTCTATCCTGTGCATATCCAGCTTACATCCATGTGGAATGTGTTTTGAGCTGTTTTATTTTTTAGCATCAGTTTTATTACATGGTTGTGACAATGGGAAGATGTTAGTAGCTCACATTTTAGGCAGCAGATTAAGAATTTAATGTCACAATTTAATTTATAAGTTTTTTGACTAATTACACTAAGCAAAAGCTTATTGACAGTAGTTTTATCTAATTAATATAAGCACAGGTACCTTTGGTTAAAACAATGCTTGCTTATTTTGAATACAATACTTATTTGTAAGCTTTAAAACACAATGCACAGAGCTCTATTATTAAGCTTTAACTTTCTTAATATCTTGCTAGATAAATTTGTTGGTAGCTTAGAGAGTTATTCTAGAGAAGCATTAATACACAGATCATTGGTCTATTTGTTCTTGCTTTTTTATAGATTAAATAATTTTTCTGCTGACCAATCTCATGGCTGCTGCTTAGCTCTAACCACAGTTTTACTGTCTCTGGGGCCTGCCTTTTGCAGCTTTCCCAAAACCCTCTGATTTTGTGGATTCCTACATGGGAGAAAACAGGTTCCCAGTACTTTTTTTTAAGAGTGCAGTGAAATTATGCCAGCTTAGCATCTTGTAAGCAATCTTGGCCATCCATGAGCTCCCACATCCCTCTGTGCAGACACTCCATGGCTCAGGGCTGCTTGCTCTGCTCTGCAGCTCCCCAGGGCAGAGCACAGGGAAGCACATTCAGCCTTCCCAATATTTTATTTATATCCTGCTGGCCGTGAGTAAGTGCTTCCAGCCTTGTGCTTGTCATAAATCTGTTCATCACCTCCTTCTGTCAGCTCAGGGCTCCTACCAAAAGGAAGGATTTTCCATGGGCTGGGGTGTTTGGGAAGCACAAATGATCTCCAGGCTGATATGTGTGTGTGATTTGGAGGCTTTCTTGGGGCATAAAGCTGTGATGGGGTGGGACACACCATGTCCTCTTCATCAGCCCCTCAAAATCCACTTTTTGTGTCCCTGGGCTCAGGAGCAGACAGGTTTTGCTGCCTCACTGCCCGTGACCAAAATAAAACTGGCTCTGGAAGGGAGCAGGAGGTTTGCCATGAACAGGGCAAACTGGGTCAGTGCTGTCAGGTGTCTCCAGCTCTGCCTTGCTTTCATTTTGAAGAAAAAAAAAAAAGAAGGAAGAAAAGAAGAAAAAAATAAAAGAAAAAAAGCCAGGAAATCCACAAAGCAGCAGCAATTCAGCCCTTTGTATTTTAGTCACCAGCACTGGACCAACTTCCCTCAGCTGCCTCTTGGAGATGCTTTAGAGATGAGCCACAGCTCATGATTTCCATGGGGGATGCTGAGCAAAGGAAAAATTATGGGAAAAAACACATGGTTTTGACTAAAGCCTTTCAGCTTTTGGGTTCTGGTCCTTCACCTCTGGGCTGGGGGCATGGAGGTCTGGGCAATTAAATTTAGAATAAATTGCTATAATATATCTTTCTTCCTTCATTCACCAATTTAATACAGGCTAAAGTTGTAATAAGAGGGGTTGAAGGTAGGCAGCAGGAAAGCTTCCTGATGTTCTGGCCTTTGGCACATTGAAGTGTCTCCATCCCTAGGGAAAACAGAAAGTTGATCAAACCAAAACCAAATTAAAATAATCTGTAACTAAAGAAAATCTGGCCCTGGGGAACAGAAATGATCCATCTCAGTGCCAGCAGGCTGCTTTCTGTGGTATTTGTAGGATGTTTTGTATTTTAAAGGAAGAGGTTGAAGCCAAATCGTGCTGATTGTTAAAAAATGTGAGCTGCTGTTTGTGGAAAAGCCTGTCATGGAAAGGAGGGGAGAGCCAGTGGCTGAGCCAGCTCAGGGCAGAAAAAAAGCAGAAAAAGGAGTGGGGAATTTCACACTGGGAGTCCCTCTGAGCTGCAGCAAAGAGCCAGAACACGTTGTGCAAAGGTCTTGACTGTTTAAATATTGCTGAGTGTCTCCCTTTTGCCCTCTCTTCTGGATATGAAAAGACTCCTGTCTGCTGACAGGTCTGATGGCAGCAGGGTGGGTTTGGGGACTGGGAATGAGAAATTCAGAGCGGTGCAGGAAAGGGCATCACCTCTGTAACAAGCCCAAAGTCCCTTCTGCTTCCTCAGCAGCTCCCTGGGGGTGGGAGGGCAAACAGCACCTGGATTTTCGGGGCTAAAAGCTCTCTGAGAGATTACTGTATCTGCAGGGAATGCCCCAACAAAGGCAGGAATGATGAAATTGACTCCATGTTCTCAGAAGGCTAAATTATTACTGTATAATACTAAATTATTTTAAAGAAGACTATACTATACTAAAGAATACAGAAAGGATACTCACTCAATGCTGAAAAGATAATAATGAAAACAACTGACTCTCTCCAGAGTCCCGACACAGCTTGGCCCTGATTGGCCAAAGAGTGAAAACAACTCCCAGCAGAATCCAATGGAACAATCACATGTGGGTAAACAATCTCCAAACACATTCCACATGAGCACAACACAGGAGAAGCAAATGAGATAAGAATTGTTTTCCTTTTCTCTGAGGCTTCTCAGCTTCCCAGGAGAAAAACCCTGGGTGAAGGGATTTTTCCGGAGAATGAATGCCACAAGGGTTGGCCTCACAGCCCCCTGTGTCCCCACAGCTGATGGGTTCCCTGGCTGTGTTTCAGGCTGGATTTGGCAGGGCCATGCTGCAGCTGGAGCTGTGGGCGGCCGTGGCGCTGATGCTGCTCGGGGCGGCCGTCAGCCTCTGCATCAGGTGCCAGCACTCAGGTAAGTGCTGCCCATCAGGTGCCAGCACTCAGGTAAGTGCTGCCCGTCCCCTGGCTGGAATTCCCCCTTGGAATGTCCCCAAACTGTGTGGGTTTGGCTCTGCTCAGCTTTGCCCTTCTGGGGATGGGTTGTGGTCCATAGTGGCGGGTGCAACCTTCACCGAGAGCATCCTGTGCCAATGGGTGTGAGCCATGAGAGCACCAGCAAACACACAGACAGACAGACAGACAGACACACAAAGCAACTCAACAGTGGAGACACAGAAGGATCCAGGTGTGGAGTTACACACAGACAGACAGACAGACAGACACACAAAGCAACTCAACAGTGGAGACACAGAAGGATCCAGGTGTGGAGTTCCAACAAGAGTTTATTGAGGCCTACTATTGAAGGGGCCCAGGAACCAAAGACACAAATAAAGGAGGATCCAGGTTATAAATCCAGGGAAAGGACCAATAGGGAATGCAGGGTGGATGGGCGAGGTTACACAAACCAATGGGAAAACAGGGAAGGGAGAACATTCTAGAACATGAACATATAGGGGAAAAGGGGTAGGGAAGGCCAACAGGCCAATGGGGAGGACAAAACCGGGATAAATTAACATAGTGCTGCAGGGCACTGTGGGGGAAAGTATTTATTATCATTGTGAGGAGTGCCTGCAGTCTATGGTGCATCTCTCCAGGGCATTGCTGTTACCTTCTCCCAGCAGGCTCACAGGCTCCCATAGGGAAGCTCAAGAGCACAGAAGAGGCTCTGCTAGAGAACCAAGAGGGAAGGAACCCCCAAAAGTGCAGCCCCCCCTTCCCTGGGGCAGATGTGACTCTGAGATGGCTCTACATGGTCATTGTAGTGGGTGGCTTTGGTCTCCACCTGGGAGGATGAGCTCAGTGACACAAATCCTGCAGGGTCTGGGGCAGCAGGGCAGGAAAGGAAGGGGAGTCTGGAGGAAAAATTCATACGGAGAGTTTGGTGAGCACCCAGTGGTGTTTGAACCTCTCCCTGAGCACTGGGTGGGTTTTAAAGGGGAGAGGCTGCAGTTCGGGTGGGTTTTAATGGGGAGAGGCTGCAGTTTGGGGTTTGGGGGCAGGACTGGCTGCTTTGCTCTGTGGGGTTTGAGACAAAAACCACAAAGCAAATACAGTTTCAAAAAATTTCATCAAAGCCCTACTGCAACTGCTGCTCACTGCCTCTGCTGTCCGGACGTGCTGAAGAAGCTTTGTGAATGTGTTTTATTGGCCTTTCTGATCTCTACCTCCCAAATCATCCTTTCTAAGAGCTTTTTGTTCCCTTGTGTTCCAGGTACCAAACGGGACGCGCAGCTGAACGAGCGGAGGAGCCAGTAAGTTTCCTTTCCCAGTTGTGTTTCTTCCCCAGACAACTCAGCCAGGGTGAGCCCCAGAGCCAGGCCCAAGCTGAAATCTGGGGTTTTATAAAATAAAATAAAATAATGGCAGGATGGGATGCAAAGCTGTGTGCCCCAGCCCAAGTTGCTGCTGAAGGGGCAATGCCTTCACAGAGAATAATCCAAAATGAAACTGAAGCTCTGACTGTGATGACATTAAATCATTAACTAGTTGGAAAAGTTCTGGGAGAGAAGGGCAAGTTTTTATCCTGTAGTGTTGTGCCCTGAGATGAGATGGAAAGATTATTTACTCCATAAAGAAGCCCCTGCCCTTGGCTGGGATGGGTTGGACCATGCACCAGAGCAACCACTGACCTGCAGCACAAGTAATGAAGGAAATGCAGTGTACACACATGCACTGCCCCTGATTTCCTTCAGCAACAGACAAACCACAGTAAATGATGTTAAAAAAAGAAAAGTTGGGTGGTAAGCTTTGTTACAGGAGCTGCAATGTGGCTCTGCAAAGGCCTCCAAGGGGTTGGGTTTTGTTTCTGTGGGGAAAGGTTCCAGAGTGATCCACTGCAGAGTGATGGAGCAGCCACTGAAGGCTCCATCCCTCATGGACTCTTGCTGAATTGTCCCAGCTTCTTGAAATTTATGCCTGGATTGGGTGGTTTGGGCTCAGGTTTGTGGGGTTGTGTGCTCTTTTTGGAGGTGTGGTTTGCAAGCAGAGTGGTTTGACTCCACATTTGGGTTTTTTGACAGTCTTGGGCCATGAACCCCAGCTGGGCATGGGGCAAGCACAATGAAAAAGGGGGAAAGGAATCCCAAAATTGGAATTTATAAGTACCTGTGTTGAAACACGTGTAGTAGAAAATGTGTTGAATTCTCTTGTGCTCTGAAAAGCAGCTCTCCTATTAACTGAAAAGTAAAGAGTTTGCTGGGCATAGGTTGTCATTGATAATGTTATTTGATTCATGTTGATATTAAGGGATGATGGGAGGGGCAGGTGAAGCAGTGGGGTTTGAAGCCATTTCATGCACGAACATCCATTTTTTTGTGGGCAAAAAGGTTCTTCTGGCCTTTGGTGGCTGAAGCATCAGAATGAGAATTTGTAACCATGTTCACAGGGGTTTTCAGATGAAGGAAGAGACAAGGATCTGACTCCATGTTTCAGAAAGCTTGATTTATTATTTTATTATATATATTATATTAAAACTATGCTAAAAGAATAGAAGAAAAGGTTTCATCTCAGAAGGCTAGCTAAGAATAGAAAGGAAAGAATGATAACAAAGGTTTGTGGCTCAGCTCTCTGCCCAAGCCAGCTGGGCTGTGATTGGCCATTAATTATAAACATCCAACATGGGCCAATCACAGATGCACCTGTTGCATTCCACAGCAGCAGATAACCATTGTTTACATTTTGTTCCTGAGACCTCTCAACTTCTCAGGAGGAAAAAATCCTAAGGAAAGGATTTTCATGAAAATATGTCTGTGACAAGAATTATCCTAAATGATGTTTTTCTATGAGAATTATCCTAAATTATGTTTTCCTATGAGAATTATCCTAAATGATGTTTTCCTCATCCCTGGATCCTTCCCTTACTGATGTTTGCTCCTCTACCAGTGGTCCTAAACCACATCTTGTCTTTAAAGGCTCAGAGAAGAGTTCAGGAAGATGGTCCCAGGTCACACAGGCCCTGCATGAGATGCTGAGCAATGCAGCTTGGCATCTCACAGAGCCCAGCTTGGTGCTCTCTGCCCTCCGCTCACCACTCAGGTCTCTTGTATTTGTTTTCCTTGTCACAAACCCCAACCTTCAGCTGAGCTTGTGCTGTGTTTTTTGCAGGCTCGAGAGCCAGCAGAGGTTTGAGGTGGTTCGATCCCACACCAGTGAGTATGAGCACTGCAGGTGGCTCCTGCCTGCTGGGGTGAGGGCCCTGCCTGCACAGAACAGGGGGAAATTCATGTTCACAGGGTCACCTTGGGGCCAGGCCAGGAAATGATGGGACCTGGACTGTCCAAGCCACCTTAGATGCTTCTAGGTGTGTGAATTCTGAGCTCTGGTTTAAAAAGTGCCCTTTGCATTGAAAATAACCCAGTAAAGTGGTGTTGATGAAAAGTGACACCTCTTGGAGCCAAGCAGGGCACCCTGTGAGAGTGAAGGTGTGGGTGACACAGTGACTCACCCATCACCCCCCTCGCTGCTTCCTGCAGTGGGTTCAGTGCTGAAATTCTGAGTTTTGTGTCCCCAGGAGCAGCTGCCAGGTCCCTGTGGGATGTGTCCATCTGCAGATGGCCCTGCCCCAGGGCTCTGCTGGCCCCAGGCCCCTCAGTTCCCCTGCAAATCTTTCATCCCAGCCTGACCAAACCCTTGGCTGCCCCTTGCAGTGTGGAGGGAGGGGAATGGCCCCAAATCAAGTGCATTTGGGACAGCAGGTGACAGCAGCTGGGGTTGGAGCTTCCTCCAGCAGTGTCTGCAGGCTCTGTGCCCCGCACAGACATCAGCTTTTTCTCTGGTTGTTCATTGCTTTGACCATTTTTGAACATTCAAGGAACAATCTATTTTAGGAAAATACTTGTCAGTCCCAGGGATCCCTCTCTGGTGGATGTTCTGTGCTCTTTGCCACATCTGCTGCTGCCATAATAGTTAACACAGTCATTTTCTTGTTGTTCTTGCCAGTTGCAACCCGAAGGCTGGAAAAAAGTAAGGGACCTGAAGACTTATCAACAACAAGGTAGGAAAAAACCCAAATAAAATCTAGCTGTAGAGCCAAGGTTGGATGAAGTTCACCCAACATAAATGAACATTTGGGATTGCACTCTGGGCCCTACAGATGAGGCTTGGGCTGTATTTAGAATCAGAGAACAGTTTGGGTTGCAAGGGACCTTTCAATGTCACCTGGTCCAACCCCCTGGTGAGGAGCAGGGACATCTTCAACTGGATTGGGTTGCTTCACTTGTTGATGGTCAATAGTATATTTAGACTTTTTGTGGGTTTTGTTCAGTCTGGCTGCATTCTTCTGGCAACTGATTAAATCAAACCCAGGGGAGTGAGCTGTGGCTCTACATAACAGATACATCATGGAAAAGAAATGGCCATTGTTCACTTAGAAGCAGTTTGGTGTGATAAATCCCCTTCTCCCCACCAACAAAGCCCCCAGTAACTTCACAGCCATTGTAACTCTGCTACAATATTCAAGCAAAGTTATTCCCATTTTAGGATTTTACCCCAAATTTTTATTCTCCTCTTGCTCCATGTGTGTACTTGATAACCTCACAGGGAGGTTTCTGATGGTGTGTAACTGCTGGTAGGGTTTGCTCTGACCTGGCATTTTGGGTGTCTTTTCTCTCTTTCAGTAAAGCCACCGAGGAGCTCAGTGCTTCCCATCACCCTGGATATGGTGAGCAGCTTCTTGGGACAGGCGCAGATACAATGAACCACAGAGCTGTTGGAGGTGGAAGGGACCTTAAAATCATCTCCTTCCACCCCTTGCCATGGGCAGGGACACCTTCCATTAGACCAGGGTGCTCCAAGCCCTGTCCAGCCTGGTCTTGGATGGTTAAAGGGATAGGGCAGCTACAGCTGCTCTGGGCACTCTGTGCCAGGGCCTCACTGCCCTCACAGGGAAAAACTTCTTCCTAAAATCCCACCTAACCCTGTCCTCTGCCAGTGGGAAGCCATTCCCCCTTATCCTGCTACTCCCAGCCCTTGTCCAAAGTCTCTCTTCCCTTTAGAAAGTGCTCCAAGCTCTCCCCAGAGCCTTTTCCAGGCTGAGCATTCCCAGCTTTCCCAGGCTGTCTCCAGAGCAGAAGGCTCAGCCCTTGGAGCACCTTTGTGCACTCCTCTGGACTTGCTCCACATCCATCTGAATTTGGGTCTGAGTTTAAAGCCCAGTGCTCATCCTGCTGTGTCTGACCAGCCCTGGTTACAGCCACAGGCACAGATTGTTTAAAACATCACCCTGGCTGTCCCAGCTCCTGTACCCTGGAGTGTCCAACCTTGCATTCGTGTCCCCTGACCTCAGAGCTGAGCAGGGGTAGAGCTGCTGCTGCTGAAATACTGAAATACTTGGTGCCTCCATTGTCAAACTGCTGCCATCACTCAGCTTGAGTTCATGTGTAATGTGCCCCTCTCTTGTCCCCAGGCAGCAGGGACGAGCCCAGGTACCAGAATTTCCTGGCAGGTAAATGCTGCAGCCACGCCTGGGGGGCTGGGAAGGAAGGCTGGAGGGGATGGGGGCTGGCAGGGAGCACATTCAGTTTTACCAGGGGATGGGGCTGGCAGGGAGCACATTTGGATTTCCAGGGGATGGAGGCTGGCAGGGAGCACATTTGGTTTTGCAGGGGATGGGGCTGGCAGGGAGCACACAGGCAGGCAGCACTGCAGCTGGCAGAGCTCTGGCTCGGTCCATTTAGAGATTGCTTTGTGAGCCACACGCTGATCTGATCTGATCTGATCTGATCTGATTAAGGGCAGGGCGGAGGGGGACGGACGCTCCTTCCCGGGGCAGGGTGAGCTGCTGCTTGCCCTTAGAGGATTATTGTTGTGTGGGGCCGTGCTCTGCTTTCCCGAGCCAGGGAGAATATTCCCCGTGTCCTGCCAGCTGGCAGGATGTGCCCATGAGAGGTGGAGAGCCGGGGTACTCCCAGGAGCTGGGCTGGATCAGGGCTCCCTCCCTGTGCTCCCTGTCCTGCTGTGGGCAGGTTTGGGGCTGTGGCTGTGCTGGGGGTTTGCCCAGCTGTGCTGGGGGTTTGTCCAGCTGTGCCCAGCTGTTCAGGTCGATGCCATGGTGGGGTGCTGACAGCAAACCCTTGTTCTCGCAGAGAGCTGCCTGCAGGAAGACACTGCCTATGTGTAAGTACCCTGAGCTGCTGCCAGCACGGTGCCATCCTGGTGCCAGTGCTGTCCTGCTGCTCCCAGAGCCCAGCCTGGGCTGGGCAGGAGGGATAGCAGTGCTGCTCTCCTCACAGGGAGCCCATGGCTCTGGATCACTACTACAACTGCAGCAGGCTCTTCAATCCCCCCCGTGTGAGGGCTCCAGGCAAGCAAGGTGGGTTCTTCACCTAACCTGGCAGTCTCTGGGCTCCAGGAGCTGCTGAGACTGCTCTTGCTGAGCTCTGTGCGTGGCTGAAGCAAGGGGGGCTCCAGGGGGCACATTCATTGAAAGGGTGCAGCAGAGCTGTGGGATTTGAGGAATGTCCAAGCCCCCATCAGTCCATCTGTTGCCTATAAACAGGATAGCCCTAAACCATCAGTGATTGTGCTCCTGTGCACCCAGTTCCATCCCTTGGTCATCACAGGCTGTCACTAAGACTGACTGTTTTTTAGCTAATCTACATTTCACTGTAGGAAACAGCCCACAGGTTCTGAGGGATCGTCCCAGGTCACTTACACTTCCATAGGTCCTTTGTGACTCCTCTTTCTTCTCTCCATCAGAGAAAGATGAGGATTCCTATTCCTATGAAAATGTCACCATTGGAGTGTCTCAGGGCTGTGATCCAGGTAAGGGTGCTGCTGTCACAGGTCAGGAGTGTCACACCAAGTGCAGAGGAGGATGGTGACTGCTCAGCCCAGGGAAACCTGCTCATTCCCAGCTCAGCTCTTCCTGCAGCTCTGCCATGGAGCTGCCACACAGGGGCTGCTGCAGACACAGGGCAGGCCTGGAACATTTCCCCTTTCTGCAGGAAAATGCACATGGTGATAATGTTTTGCAGAGATAACTAAAAACTCCACAACTTTGTGAAAGTTGTAAAGCTGGTATGTTTATTACAGCACTGGACCATGTGGAGATTATTCTTCTTAAAAGACATGTGTACTTCTGGGAACTTCAGGTCTTTTTTTATCTCTTTCTCAAATACATATGCATACAATTTCACAATAGGTTCATACATATTCATTTCTATGAATTTCATGTGACATTTGTTCTTCTTTATCAGAAAGAATTTTAGGTCAAGTTGACCTGCTCTCACAGCAATCTTTCTGCCTTTCTTTATTACTTTCTGTCTCTCCCCCCTTATCTCTGTCTTTCACTGAAGCAGTTTGCAGTTAAGCTACATAGCTATGTTTTCTAACTACAGACTCAAAGATGTACATTTCACCTAAATCAAAATGGATTTCTACTCTAAAAGATTCCTACTCTGTTTCAATACCTCCATCCTGGTGCCTTTGACTTGGTGGTTTCTGCAGCAATTCAGGAGCTTTGGGGTCTGCATCTTTAGGGTTTTAGTGTTGTTTTAGCCAGGGTGATTGTATTTCTGGCCCCTAGCTCAGGTTTCTCACCAAATCCAGCACAAGAAGGCTGCAGCCAGGAAGCTTGTGGAGGGTGACACTGGACCACAGTGTCCCTTCAGGGCTTCCAGCATCAGTGCTGGGGTGTTGCAATCAGAATAGGAAGTCAGTTTGGTTTCCTTCTGTGAGCTAACACAGGCTTTCTGCACTGCTGAAGGCTGCCCTGCTCCTCTCTGGCTTTGTGCAGTGATCAGAGGAGGCAGGAGCAGCAGGGACCTGTCTGATCCCCATCCCTGCCTGCAGAGACCCAGGCACATGGCCAGGCTGGGAAGTGATGAGGCAGCAGCAGCCGATCTGAGCTGGCTGGAGGCTCAGCCACGTGCAGGGAGCAGTGGGGCAGTGCCAGGAGGGTTTCACAAAGTCCCTTTTATGTCCGTTTGCTGCTCAGTGTTGTCCTGTCCAAACTCTTCCCTGTCACAGATGATGCTGTGGACTATGAGAACAGCATGGCAATACTCACATGGAAGCTCCAGCAAGGGCAAGGTAGGTTTATTATTTGCTGTTTGGGGATGGGACTTATGGGCAGAGTGCCTGGAGCACTAGGCCAGCATAACCTATGCAAGGGCAGTGCAGCCATCACCTCTGAGTTAATTTTTTCCCCAACTTTCCATGATAAATATCCAAGGCAATGTGCAAATTGTTAACACACTCCTGTAGCTGACTGCTGCTCTGCTGGGACGTGGTGTCTGTCATACTCAAAGGCACCTGCCCAAACCCTGACCAGGGGATGCTACACAAAAATATTGCTCTTCAGGTCTGAAATGCTCTTACACTGAGGTTGCCCCAGCACAAGCACAGCTGGGGGATCCCCTGAACCACAGAACTCTGTGCACACACCCAGGGCTCAGCCCTTGACTCTCGTGCTGTGGTCAGGGGCCCTGTTTCTCAAGCTGACCTTTTAACAAGTTTCATTTAGTGTGTGGCTTCCTGTGAGGCATTAGGGTAGTTCTGGCCTGGGGGACAGTGGGGACTGTACACATAGATGTGTTTAAGAGCTCTGGTGTGAAAGCTGTCTAAGCAAAGTGATTCCTGTTTGCACACTCTCTTTTTTGGCTCTGAAGGGCTGCCCAGAGTGTTTGCAAATTTGCTGTGATCATTTTGAAGCCTCTTCAAGGAGACCTTGACACTGATGTGAGTTTTCTTAGCCCGGGCACAAAAACATGTCAGCAGCAAAGGCTAAATCCTGGCAGGACTCATGCTGTGTCAGTGGTCTGTGTGCTTTTACACTGTTCATTTTTACACCACTCACTGACAAGTGCTTCATCCTCACCCACAGCCCCAGTGACAGAAAGCCTGGATGAAGAGCCAGACTACATCAACACAGCTCCTGGGTCAAGGCCTGCCCTGCTGCCAGAGCCAAGGTAGAAACAGAGTAAATGGTAATGCAGGGTGGAAGGATTTGGTTTGTGGTGTTTATTTAGGGGTGGAAGATTTGTTTATGCCCAAGGGGGTTCAGCTGGAGCTCTGCCCGGGCAGCACCAGCACAGCAGCCGGTGTGGGCAGTGAGGAGTGTGAGGAGCCCACCCTGTGCAATGCCTCACCTCTGGCTGATACCAGGCTGACTAACAGGGACCATGGAGACAAAATTGCCCAATTCCATGCTCCAGCACTGCCCTCCTACAAAAGGCACAGGAGCTCCAAACTGCTCCAGAGCACCTTGAGCCAGTGCTGCCACATGCTGTGGGCAGGGACACCCAAACCCTGCTCTGAGCAGGGATTCCCTCAGCTGAGTCCTGCCTGCTGTGCTGTGTGGTCACACATCCTGCCCCATCATCAGCACCAGCCTGATGTTGCTGATAAAGAATTTCTCACAGCAGAGAAAGTAAAATATCTGCAGAGAGCTGCAGGAAGGGTGCATGACACTGAGGGACAGTGAGTGAGTGATGTGCTGGTCAGTGCTGGTCACCCTGCTCCAGACTGGAAGATGGACTGGGACCAGTATCACTCTCCTTGTTGGCTTTTTTCCATCTTGAGCACCTACAGAGGCCCACTGACATTGTCTTTATGCCACATGCCAGCTGCTCTAGTTTTAGAGGGTTTTATGTTCCCCAGACTGTCCCAAAATTGGATCTTTCTGAAGCCATGCAGAATACTTAAGATTTGTCCCCACCATGCAAAGCAGAGTCATTCCATTCTGCACACTTGGGCATTTGCTTCTGCTGGATGTAGCTGGACATGAAAAAGCCACCCTGAGAAACCTGACCATAACTTGCTGCCAGGCATCTTTTTTGCCATTATAATGATGCCTCTGTTGTAGCCTTTGCTAGCAGAGTAATGTTCTGAAATCTCAGTGTCCAACCAACAAATGGCAGCTGAAGTTCCCCACCAAGGGAGGCTGAATTGAGAAATGGGCTCCTGGTGCCTCTGTGCCCCCTGCTCTGATCAGGGATCCTCCTCCAGGAGCACAACTGGGGTTTCTGCTCAGACATGGACATTTTGTAGTGTATGTCACTACTTGTCCCTGGAAAGGAAATGTAGCAGGCAGCAGAGTTAAGCTGAAAGCAGGGATTAAAAGTCAGTGGTCTCACTGTTTTTTCTCCTCTTATTTCAAGTATTCTGCGTAAAGTCTGAAGAAATCTTTTGCTGAGCTGTAAGAGCACACCCAGCGAGGAAGCACACAGGGCAAGGGGAGGTTTCCATCCCTCAGTGAGATCTCCTCTCCACACTGTGCCTGCAGTGACACACGAGGGGTGTCACTGAAAGAAGAACTGCTCTGCTTGAAGCCCCACAGAAGTCCAGCTGCAAACCAGCAATGGAGGAAGCATTCTGCCCCAGTGACCACAGGCAAACCCCAGGCTCCTCATCCCCATCTCATTTCCCTGTGTCCACTCAAAGATGGGCAGTCTGGGCAATGTTTTCTCCTGGCAGGCATGAAATGAATCCTTAACTTGCTGAGCAGCAATGCAGCCAGCTACTTAATTTGTCAGGGTGACTCATGCACAGTGTATTAAGCCAGAGGGATTATGTTCTGATTTAGTTCCTGTGCTCTCCTACAGAAGCAGTTTCCTGTGTGAGAGGAACTGGAGAGGCAGAGGTGGTGTTTGTAACAGCAGTGGCTGTCTGGAGCTGAATGAGATTCCAACCTGTTCACAAAAGCTAAAGAGGATTAAATGCCTGCTTATCCATGGGCATGTAATTCACAGTGTTGGTCTGTGGCAGTTTTCCTCATGTTTCAGTATCTGTTTTAAAATGGTACAAAGAACCAGCAGCAACTGTGAGAGTCAGATCCACCAGCCCCAGAAACTGCACCAGTCCTTCAATGTGGCTGTTGGAACATCATCCCACAAACAGAACCCCTGTCTCCTGAGCCCTGATGTACAGATCTGGAATACTTATTTATTAAAACTGAAAAGCTTCCAAAGAAAATGTGTTTTGCTATGGTTTGCAATGATAGATGTTCGTATGATAAGGAAATGGGAGGACAGGAGGTGACATGGAGTGATGTGCAGGATCTTATGGGGAGAAAATGCATTAAAAGCCTTCTTCCTCAAAATCAGATCAGAAAACTGTTTCAGGAAAGGGCACAGCCCACACTCAGGGTGAGTGAGCAGAGAAGGGGAGTTGGGGGTTAGAGAGCTGTGCCGTGGGAGAAGGGATGTCAGGTGCTTCCTGCTGCGGATGACTGGGCTCCAGTTTTAGCAGAACCAAGAGAGAGCACAGGTGCCACTGTTGGTGTGGCTGAACCGGTGGCTGGGCTGGAGCTTGGCTCAGGAGAAGGTTTGCTAATAGTCCCTACAAATGCTACAGGTTTCCACAGGAGTTTTACATCAGAAGGAAATCAGTGCACTTCAGGGATGCAATGCACAGCCTGGTTTCCTGCTCACCCCAGCCCAGCTTCTCCTCACACCCTTAGGTTTCCTGATGGTCAAATGCAAAAAGTCTGCATGGCAGCAGGGTCCCCCTGAGCCAGCAGCACAGACAGTGCAGGCAAAGGGAGCTTTTGTCACTGAAATTGTGCCTGGACCTCACATGGCTATGACACCTTTGGATTCACCCTCAGCACCTGAAGAAGGTTCCACTTTCCATGAAGTGCTGCAGACTGTGGGCTGCTCACTGCAAGGGAACAGTGAGTGAGCTCGTTGTGAGTGATGCCTGGTGCTGTTACCCACTGGTGATTCATCTCCCAGCCAAGGGAGCCATTGATGAATAGGAGATTAGCAGCAGTGACAGATCCTTGGCACACAGCAACAGATCCAGCTGGAGACCTCCCAGAAAGTTCTAGGCATGAGGTCAGTGCATGGTCAGAACATGAAAATACAAGATTTATTGTTCTCCTCACTAAGCAGGGAGGCAGATTACACCAGTTAGATTTTCTTGGTACAAGAAAAATGTACAATTTTCCAATCCTCCATTGCCAAAGCCCGAGTTTGAAAGTTGTGGAGCCAAAGCAGGCAGGGCAAAACTGGATGTGGAGAATCTTCCTTCCACTCACTGGGGTCTGAGCAAATTCCCCTTTTCAGCTCTCCAGAGCAGTCAGCTGTAGTGAGGTGTAAATCCTTTGTAAAGCTTCTGGAGCACTTCTCAGGCAATCATCTCATTACCCTGGAAGGCATCCAGGGACTGTTTCAGGAACTCTCATCAATAATGTTTGTTATTAGTCTGGCTCTGAACAACCTCAGTTTTTCTCTGCAATGACTGAGTGTGGATGTGTGTGTTCACTGACTTTTGGGACTGCCTTTACGTGTGCAAGGGTTTCTGGTGCTCAGCCAGAATTGCCAGACACTGTTGTTTGAACCTAATGCAAGGAGACTTTCAATCCCCTGGGTCCACCTCTCTCCACATTAGGGTGGCAGTTAAGTGACAAATTCACTTCCTGTTTTCAATTTAAGGTGCTTTAGAAAAGCAGTTCTGGCTGGTGCAGTTCTGAAAATGGAGCTGGGGAATCTGTGCTGAGTGCTGGAAAGCAGCAGCCCTGCACTCAGAGGGAGAACAAACACCTGTGGAGAGCGGGAGGTGTTGGTGGCCTCTGGGATCAATACTAGTCCTCTTCTTAGGAAAAGTGTGTGTGATTATGTCCCTGGAGGTGGAAAGGATTAGCCCAGAGGGGAGTCTGCTCTAAACTGGGGCTGTGAAATGCAGTTACTGATTACAGTTGAGAAGAAACCTCTGAAACCAGGTAGGAACAGGAACCTGACCCTTCATGTTCCTCACCCTTCCACTGGCACCACCACTGTGGGCAGGCACAGCCCACAGGGTAAGGACTGGCCTTGAGTCACCCAAATATGGTGTTTGCTGGTTTATGAGACAGCCATGGGAACATCTCTTCCTTCCCCATTCCAATGAACACATTTAATGAGACAGCAAAGACAGAGTAGGCAGGCTGTGATGTGCAAAGGAAAATTATTCTTATTTAAATTTTTGGGGACAAAAGCTGTGATGCTGTGTCTGTAGAGAACTCAGCAGCTCAAGCCCCAGTACTAAACTATTAGTTGTGTATTTAATAGAGTTTGTGGTGATAGTAACTCACTGGGTGGGAACCAAAGCCTAAGTTCAATTCTAGTGAAGAAAGAAAGTACTTTGAGCATTTCATCCATTATTCCAGGTGCCATGGTTTAGTTGAGGTGTTAGGGCATGAGTTAGACTTGATGATCTTAAAGGTCTCTCAACCTTGTGATTCTGTGATTCTGTTAATTGTATTAGGATGTATCTGCTTGGAGACACAAGTCTCACATCTCATATTAGGTGGTCAAATTCGATTTATATTTACTTTCTTTCTGCATTTCACACTTAATTGTCCATTTATGCTGGCAAGGTGTCTCCAAAACTGGACAGGCAAACATGATTCTGTAGCTTTTTGGCAGGCTGAAACTGTGACATTACCAGGAAAGGGAACTCAAATTTAGAGCATCCCAGAATTTAGTAAAGATTTTTAAAGATTACAAAAGGAATATCCAAAATATAGTGGTAACATTAAGAAATGTGTAATATTTCTCCTGTACGTTTGCTGAAAATACTTCCCCTATCCACAGGACAAAGCAGCACTTGCTCAATGTGTCTCAATTATAACTTTAATTTTGTGCAAAAAAATTTCCTTCTTGGTCTTGGTAAGATCACTCATGACCAGGCTTGAAGTGTAATCCCTAACAACAGGATTCCATTTCTGTTTTTCCTGTTTAGCTCTCAATACCAAAGACATAAACAGTTTTGCCAAGTGCACTGGACAGACCTCAATTGCTCTGGACTGTGACAGTCCTCTCTTCTGTCCTGCTTATAAAACACATACAATTTCGTGGGTTAAAGTAGATTATAGATCTTTATTGGTCTAAATAAAACAGTATGAAACATTTTTGCAGCACATCCTGGTTTCCCTTCAGAAGGCAGGAGCCCCTAGCTGGCTGCAGGGGCTGCGGTCTTCTGGCACAGGCGAGCCAGCAGCCCAGCCATTTGTAACAGGGAGTTCACACCTTCTGCTATCTTCATGTGGGTGTACCCAATTTCCTGGTGACAGAGACATTGTCAAGCCTGCTGTTTACTCCCCCAGTCTGTGTATATTTTACTAATGACTAAACAGAACATACCCCTTTCTGCTGAAAGACCAGCTTTGAGTCACTTCTACTTCTGAGAATGCATGTACTCTATAAACCAACTAAAATGCCTTTTGTTTTTTAAATCAAAGCCTGTATTTCCCCACTTCCTTTATAAGAAGCAAGGTGCCTGCATATGAGGACAGGTTTCAAATATGAAGAGTGATTCCATAACACCAGCTGACTAACAACTCTCTGTTAATTTAATATTTTACTATCTATTGGACTAGAATCAAGTATGCACTTGAAAAACATTTTCAAGGAGTTATCTGAGGCTTTGAAATAACTAATAAATTCAGCATTACATCTGCTATTAATTTTAGCTGATCACTAAAGTGACTTCTGGCACTTCTGTGGGTGTTGAGATGCTAAACTCCAGGTGACTTCTCACTGACAAACTGATGATGCAGTGAGAAAAAAAGCAGGCATGAATCAAGAAGTACTTGATGCTAATATACAACAAATTTTAAACAGAAACCCCTGAGGCTGCCCCTGATCACATTCTCTTCTTAAACAGGCCCCATCAGGAGCTGAGTGAGTACCAACCTTGATAAATTCCAGTTTCAGATATTCTGGCATTTGATAGGTCTTACACACACGGAAGATATTGCCAATGACATCTTCTGGAGAGTACCCAAGGCGCCACAGGTGGGCAAGAATCTGTGCAGGCAAAAATAATCCCCATTTATCTGCCAGGTGAGTCAAGGATATTCCCTTTGGAACAGCTGTATATCATTGCTGAAACTGCATGTACTGTTTATCAGCTGATTTGACCTCAAGCATCTAGCAATTGATTTCACTACAACTTCCTTTTTTGCTTGTTGGCTTACTTATCTGATCAACTTATCAACTTATCTGATCAAACTCCTGCCCAAAAGGGATTTAGTTTATCAACTCATCTACACGGTATTGCCCTTATCTTAAAAAAAAACACACACTGTGAATTCCCCAAAGCAAACAAAAAATTTTGTAGATAAATAATGCCTGGCTGTACTGAAGACAAGACATGAAAACCAACCTTGTATGCTTCATCAATATTTGCATTTATGCAGTGTTGTATCATTTCCTTCACCAGCAGAGGATGAGGCTCATCACATACCTGTATCCAAGAGAAATATTACACTTAAAATATCAAAAGACTTTGTATTAAACTTCTGGTATTTTCACCAAGTTTCTATGGAGCTGAAGTGCTGAATCAGAGATATTCCATAATACAAACTAAATTTTAAATAATCTGACTTCTGAGATTCTTCTATATTGTGATTCTGTAGTTCTATATGGCAGACTCACATGAAATGAGAACACCCAAGTGATAGATTCCCAAGTTATTACTGAAATTTCTCAGCAGTAATTGGATTTGTGTGCTTTTGGAGAGCTGCAAAGGTCTCAGAAGTGCCATTAGGGATGGCTTTTCAAAAGGCACAAGGACTACTTAAAGTCTAATGCTGTAACTGCTACATACACAGGGCTGTCTGCAAGCTAGCAAAAAGGCTGATGTGTCCAATGGAATCTCACACAGCCACAGGGATAAATTTCTGGGAAAAACTGTTTTCAGCTATTACTGACCTTAAAGACATTTTCACTGTTTATAAAGCCAAATCCAGAGTATGTGGACTGTAAGTTGTTTAATGCCTGTGAAAGAAAAAATAAGATTTTATTTGTTTTCTGAAGTGCTCCACTTCTCACTCCCCTCCTCAGGATGAAATGCACTTCAGGAAATGATGCCAAATAAGCAGTTTGCCATTAAACAACAGAAAAAAAATCACAAATTTATGCTGATTTTATTTCCTCCCACAAATTTGGTATCCACTTCCCACCAACTCACTTTTAAGGAGCATTTTAAACCCTCACAAAACCAAACAGTTTAGTAACTCTTGGACCACAAGTCATATCCTCCTTTGCTCATTCTCTCCAGAGAAATCCTTGAGAGCTGCAATTCAAAAGTTTAAACAGAAGCCTTTGTTTTACTGTCTTTCTCCTTTTACCTGTCTCATATCACCTTGAGCTGTGAAGATTATGGCTTCTAGCCCATCATCTGTGTATGCTACATCCTCTTTCTCAACAATTTTCAGCAGCCTGGCAAGGATCTGTGCATCTGTCAGCTTGGTGTAACGCAGCACTGCACACCGAGACTGAATGGGTTCTGAGGACAGAGATATGGCATTAGCTTCTCTCTTTTTCTCAAAAAAACCC